AAAAAAAAAAAAGAAGAAGAAGAGGTGTTTGCCTCCTTGTCCCCATCCTTTGTCCCAGGCCCAAACTTCTGAAGTCAGGGGGGACCTGAAAAAGCCCATGAGGTGGGAAACAGAGGGAAGGAGTAGATGAGCAATGAGAGGTTGGAGTAGCCCATCCCCTCTCCCCACGCACAGCCCAGTCATGAATTGGGAGAGGGGAGGAGGGTTTGGAAAGGGAGGCGTAGGGCTTCAGTTTGGATGTAAGTGAAGTTTTATTTGAACTGGAGGCCTTTAATACCTTTAGCTGAGATGGGACTATTTTGGGGACTGTTGGGCTGTGGGATGTGCTCACGAGCGGGAAGAGAGTTCTGAGAGCACAGCTTTGAAGGAAGTGGCTGAAGAGCACATTGTTTGTTCATATCCTAATGAGCTCAGTCTGCTTCATCACCCAGCTGTGTGCATTTACATGCATTTTGCTTTTGGAGACTTAAGTTATTTAGCTGATATTTCTATAGTTTTTCTGAAGTGCAATTATTTTTATGTTTATTATTATTTTTTTACATTGCAAAAGATAAAAGTGAGCCAATTAGTCAGTTTCCAGCAAAAACAAATTCTTTTAACTGAAAATGGAACCAATTATTTCAGTGATGATTACCTAGAATGTTGGAGAATAGTATAGATCCCCTGAATAGATTGCCTTTTTAACACCATAAAGACCTGTAGCTATATGGTAAAACATTCGTTTTCAGCAATTTGCATGATTTTGCTTATTAAACTATCTACATTTTGTAATATGTGACAAAGTGTAAGCAGAATCTTACTCTGTGTTCTGTTTATACTGTTTAAATTTCACATTCTAGTGTTTTTGGCCCATCCCTTCAGAAAGCATCTTATTTGAAGGTCAACTAAATGAGCCTTTGGTGTCATCTCATTTTGTACCAACAATAAAATGTAACATTTAGTGAGTACTTACCATTTGCCATACTTGGTGCTGAAGGCTTCACGTGGATTTTTTCATGTAACAGCATTTTGAAAGAGAGTGTATGTTGCAGGGAGAGCTGTGGGGAGAGAAGCTCCCAGTGTTTACTGTTTGAATGCTGTCATTTTTCCTCTGCTAGAATAGCATCTCCTGAAAATAGTGTCATTGTCTGTGCCTGGCACACAGAAGATGCTCAATAAATATTTCTTGAATCCACTGAATGAATGTCGAATACCCCATATGCCCATTTGGTATCATATAGAGACATCATTAAACTCTCTGACAATTCACAAAACATGAATAAAAAAGAGAACACAGTACTGTTACCATCTAAAGCTATGACATCAGAAGTTATCCATAAAAGGCCATACCACGGAAGATCTCATATATCTCACTAGAGAATTTTGGAGCTAGAGGATCATTAAAGAACCTGGATATAATCTGATCTAAGTTGCCTGTTGGAAAGATTCCTCTGGGAGCAGTGTGGAGGATGGAACTGAGGAGTGCCAGAATGGAGGTAGGCTGATTGGGAAGGCCCAGTGGTTTCTGAGTTTGATCATCAGAACCTCTTGCAAAATATTGTAAAACACAGATTCCTGGGCCCAAGCCCACATCTACTGAGTAGACTTTCTGGTGCGAGCTCAGGCATCTGTGGTCTTCATAAGGCTCCCCAGGTGACTCTCATCAGCCAGGCCTGGGAGCCCTTCCGTCTGCACTGCAGTGTGCCCTGTGTTAGATGATGAGGGCCTACCCCAGTTGGGGCAGTACTTTCATCCACCTTGGCTTACATAGGCTCTCTTTCAGAGATGTCTTGTCATTCAAAGGTAAGACGATAACCTAAGAAAAACGTGTAAGAGATTTTAGGGGCAGCATTGAGCACAAAACTCAATGACACCCAGTATTGGTCTTACACGCTCTGGATCTATTCATTCTTTCCAAGCCCATTTTCAGTAGAGAGCAAAGACCACATCCAGGCACCAGAAGGACAAGAAGGAGAATGCAACCAAAAGAAGTTCAAGGACAGCGAAGATGACCTGGAATTCTGGAACAAGCCCTCTTTGTTTACTCCTGAATCTCGATTGGAAACACTTAGGCATATGGAAAAACAACGGAAAGACCAAGAAAAATTAAGGTATTTCATTTTTTCCTATCATTGAGAGAGATACAGTACTCTCCTAGGGATTATATTTTCATGATTGCGCATGATTTTGCTCCTCATCTGCATTCAATCTTTGCTAGCCATCACGCATTGACTTTGCTTCTTCTAGGTTCAGCTTCCTGTTGCATTGTATCTAGTAATGTTTGCTAATATCAGACTCCATTCTTTAGGATGTCATGAATGATGGCATTTTAGGTAGTTTTGTTTGGATGTCTTTAATTTTTTAACAACTTTCAGTGAATCAAATGCAAGTATGGCCCGGGTTAGAGATACTGATTATCATGCCACCAAAAAAAGGGATGAATAAGTTCCTTTGTGTCTCGTAATTTGCAAAGTTAGAAATTAGTTTCACTAGGCCTTATATTTTCCTAATACAACTCTCTTGGACATTCCCCAGTATGCTTTCACTTCTGAATTGTTTAGCTATAATTTGATGATTTGTTAGAAGCTAGAATGCTTAAACTGTTATTCTCAGAGAGGCTTTTTAAAAGCTAAGCTCTGTGTCATTTTATGTCATTGCTCAGGTCTAGTATGTAAAATGTACCACTTATGGAAATACTTCTAATTCCTGTGCTTGGGAATGGGATCATTTAGCTCTGATATACCTCTGTCTGCATGGAAGTCACGAGAGTGAAGCACAGTGTCTTTCCCTGTGGTTATCGACTGAAAGCAAGAACCTAAAAGATTAAAAAAGACTATTAGCCACCCTACAGTACATCATTAGTTTTTGATGTAGTGTTCCATGATTCATTTTTTGTGTATAACACCCAGTGCTCCATGCAACACATGCCCTCCTTAATACCCACCACTGGGCTAACATAACATAATAAAAATAAAAATAAAAATAAAAAAGACTATTAGCAATCGCTGCTGCTTTCATGCCATTTTATTTCTTTAGTTAGATGATAGGGAGGTATCAAAATTGAATTTTATCCAAAATGCTTGTTTGTAAAATGTGGTAGTTTGTACACAGAGAAGCCACCCCATGCTTTGGGGAGAGCACTGGAATAGCATCCGAAAATGTGGGCTCACGTGCCGACTCTGCCACTTACTGTCTATGGGATACTGGCAAATACCTAACTTCTCATCTGTTTCCTCGTCTGCTAAACAGAGATTCTTGTCCCTGCCTTACCTGCCCCGCTACATTGTTAAGACAATCATAGGAGCCAATGTGTAAAAGTACTTTGCAGACTTAAGAAACTTCTGAAATGGAAATTCGACATGTTTTTATATAATACGTGTCATCTTTCTGACATATATGCAATGTACACGCATATATACACATCGTGTGTATATATGTATACACAGATAAAATGTATTTATAGTACAATACATTGTGTGATACACTGTATTGCGCCTGAAACCAGGAAACATTTTTTTCTCTCCCGAACAACCAAAATAAAGTGCAGCTGAATTGGGTAGAAGTGCAAGTCACTCCATACAGTATGCTCTAGTGTACCTAGTCCCGTGGGTCCCTGAGATGCTTGCCTCTCCTGGATGTCCCTTAATTGTCCTGGGTCATGGAGAATAATGCAGTACATGGACATACTAACTTATTGGACCTGGGGACCCAGTTTAAGATGCAGAAAAATGTGCATAAATTTACATTTCAAAAAAAAGTTAACTGATACAAAATCCGTATTAAAAGAATAGAAATCCAAGGCAAAGAATTGCCTACAGTTCCATCTTCTAAACACATTTCTCCATCTGGTCTTCCAGTGCTCGTCCATATATGCCTTTTTAAGTTTGTATATATCTTCGTTACTGTTTAAATAGCTAGAACTTACGTTCTGCACTTTTCTTTCATGCTATCCCATGAATCTTTCCTCTCTGCACCATTTCTTTTCCTCCTGTCTCTACCCCTTTAGGTAATGAGTGTTAACAGGCTGGGGTCAATCCCACCAGAACTTTCTCCACCCTCTACAATCGTATAAATCATCTCTGCAAATCTATGATTTGGGATCTTTTTTAAAAAACAAAAATGGACTTATATTTTATGTATTTGTGCTCACTAAATAACATCATCTACATTTTCTATCACTTTTGAGACCAATAGGTGAAGAGCAAACACATTTTTTAACAACCACAAACTATTTCATAGCATGAGCATACCACAGTGGAGCCAATGACCCCTTCACTGATAGACATTCATCATAGTTCTGGGGTTTTGCCGCTACTAAGACTGTGATAGACATCCTTTTATGTAGATTCTTACGTACTGGTATTTTTATTTCTATAGAATAGAATCTACTTGGCATTTTAAAAATTATCATTTTTAACTAAAGCAGAGGCTATATACACAAACGGGGAATTGACAGTTATCTGGCTAAATCACGCATAAAATAGACTAATTTAAATATTCATGGATATTTCATGAAAAGGAGGGATCTCCTCCCCTCCCATTTGAATTATTTGCCAAATTGTCTTGGTCACATTTTTGCTTTACAGCTATAGATATAATCATAAAGAAATCTGGCTTGATTGTCAATTCCCAGCATAGCATTAAAAGAATGGGCTTCATAACAGTGAATTGTTGATGTATTCACAGATACCTGATCAATTTTTTCTTAAACTATTTCACAAAAATATTTCTTTTACATTCTCTTTGTTTATTTTTCTCTTTCCCCATTGCCCCTGGTTCCCATCCACCTCCAATCTTAAGTGAAAAGAAGAAGAAAGTGAAACCACCCAGGATTTTGATCACTAAAGATGGGAAAGCCTTGAATGTAAATGATCCCAAGTACGTGAGGCCAAAGGGATACTCGAAGAAGCAGAATGTATGGTGGTGGTCATTATGATGGTTTTCATTTGCAGGTTTGCTCTGTGGAGAATATATCTAACTGCTCTTAACAAGCCTGATGAGCCTAATAGGAACGTCACTGTGTGCATATTTGAAAGCAGAGCATCTATGATGTTTTCTAGTACATGATGTTATATTTCATTGTCTTGGCATTCAGAACATGATCTTGACATTTGGAAATCCTAGTTATTTATGTATCCCCTGAAACTTTGGACCATATACAGTTTTCTGCCTGAAAATTCCAAGTGCGTTATTGTTATGTTTCTTAATGTTTAAAGCTCTGCCATAAACAAGCTGACTGAGAATACTGGTACCTCTCCCATGTGTCTGTCTACTTTTCACTCTGGGACACATCTACACAGCACTGGAGGCCCAAGGAAAGAAACTGATGTAGATACTTCAGTGACATTAATGAGAGAGGAAAATATCAAACCAGAAATCCTCAGGGATAATCATATCTACCCTGTCGGGCTGTCATAAAATTTAAAACTAGAAAGAAGGCAAAAAAAAAAAAAAAGGTCTTTTGTAGCCAAAATACAGACCAAAAAGCCTTTGGACTAAATCTTGTTGGCTTCACTTCATTGCTCAAAGCCTGTTTGTTTCCCTTTCCTTTTCTATGCCAGGACCAGGAGCAAGGGACTGTCATCACAGAGATTCGCCCTTGACATGGATCTTCAACTCTTTTGTCCTTCTTTCCTTCCCTTATGTTCATTCTCACATCCTCATCTCAACCCTATTTAAATCGGACACGCATTTCTGGACTTGCCCTCATGCATGCCTGGAGGAAAACACCCGTGTCTACTTGCTGGTCTACTGGAAATTTACTACCCTGTATCTCAAGTGGACTTCTGCAAATCATACTGTATTTTGTTGGATAATTCACTCCTCCAATCTCCCATAGGCTGCTTTCACCCCTTTTGCTCCCTTCTTACTTCTGTTCTGTGGTTCCATCTGGGGACCTTATTTCTTACTCCATAGAGAAAACAGAAGAAATTAGAAGTTTTCTCATCCAATTTATCAGTGTCGCTGGACCTGTAGCACATATTCTCTATTCTTCTGCTGCAGTGGGTGAACTTCCCCTCCTGAGTAGCTCTCTCTGTGGGCATACTGATCCCACCCCTCTTCCTGTCAAGGACTTGCTTCTGCAATGACCCTTTCTCTTATGTATCATTTCTCTCCCTCCTACTAGATCCATCTCATCAGTTTATAGACATTGTGATATCATCCATCTAAAAAAAACAACAGGGGCGCCTGGGTGGCTCAG